AACAGTAGCAACAACATCAACCACAGCCAGTGGGGTCAACAATTCAATGTGACAGTTTTTGAAATCATTAAGGTACCCTTCGCGCAACTGTTGATCCAGCAAAATAAATCTACAGCAGCACCTGACATTAACGACAGCCTTGTTTGCAATACCTGAGTTACAACATGGAATAAGCGAAGTAAAATTCTTTACAAGCAACATACTGACAGTACAAACAGCACATTCTGTCACACTTCATGCCAATGTATATCGGACGCTATAAAATAAGAATCCCACCTAGCCAAGAAGAGTACAGAAAACACTTGGCACACATATTAGACTTTCATGAGCAGATGTCATCTTAGCAAAGTCATGTCTTCAGTAAACCAAGAAAAGTCTGGGAGTTAAAACTCAGTTACCTTGACAAGTCTCTATAGATCCTTGTGATCACCAGCTGGTGCCAGATCTGACAGAGACATTGGCTGTCATGGTACGCCACTCATTTATTTGACTGGATGCTCTCAGAAAAAAATTACATCGACTGTTTGTGTCATCCTCCGCCATACCCCATTTCGAAGAGTGATGTATGACAGTGTCAGACTCAGCAGTCAACATACATTATCCTAGTCCATCATCTATCTGTTCAGGTTTTCCTAGTAAGTTGCTCTGGGTCTACCCCTGCCGCGTTTGCCCTCCATTTTTCCTGAGAGAAACGGATGTTGAAAGGCTTTACAGATCACAGACAAAATGCCGTCTGTGACCCCAGCAGTTATAAACTTTATGATTGGCAAACTTTTCAGGCCCAAAAATATATGGCCAATAAGCTTAAAATGTTGGTTAAGACAACTGTTTTGGAGTGCTCATTATTCTACTGGTCACAGAAATCTAGAAACCTTGCACAAGAGTACTTCCAGAAGAAGCATCTCTTCTACTTTTGTAGAAAGGGGTAAGTACATATCATATTCATTGGACCCCCTGTGACCTTTTAGCCACCCTTACCAGTAAATTTAAGTTGTCACATCCAATTGAAATGCTTTCAGTGTGTGAGGCAAAAGCTCCTATTCTTCAAGACCTCCATACAGTTTTGCTGTGTTGATAAAGACCACGCCACATTCAAATGCATTTCCACACAACATATAGTCAAATTAATTTGTTCGTGTAAACTGTATTATTAAGCAATGAGTCATGAAAAGACATATAAACAACATTTCAATAGAACAACACAACAAATCATGTCTTTACAATATATGGAATAAAAACTCCATAAAGGAAAAGAGAAACATTACATTATGCCTTCCATATACCTAAAATCAATAAGCGTCTCTTAACTTAAGCCACTTATATTTAATTTTAACAGGTCCGGAGACATCAGCTTTTACAGCCTCATTGCTCACACTGTGGGAAGATGGGGGCAGCCCCAATTTGCCTCCAGTATTATGTCTCAAAGCACTGCAGATAGCCATACCATAAGAAAAACAGAACAAGTTGAAACTTTTGTTATAAGACGAACACAGACATGTTGCCAACTTACAATCAACTTTAACCCCACAATGACAGAAACAAAATACATCAAAGTGGCACTGACAAGAATACTAGAATGAATAGCACAATAAAACAACAAAAAGAAGCATACATCTACATGACCCATTAAAAAATCACAAAAGCTATAAAGTAGAAACTACATTACACTACTGTGATCCTTTTTCTCCAATGCTGGCATACTTCTCCGGCAACCACAGAATGAAAACCCTTCACAGCCATACTCCACACAGACTTGGATCAACGATTACGACTACACAGCACGAAAAGCAGCCAGGGGGTTAATATCTCATCGAATTCTCTTAGTTTAACGCTTTGCTGCCTCATCTCGCCGATTGGCGATGTTTACCACCCATTTTTTTTGGATTATCCCCAAAATAATATGATGACAAAGTGTTAACACGTTAGGTGGGTTGTTTTTATTTATTTTTTAAATTCCAGAAACACTCGGGTACCATCAGACTGAACCCCCTACAAAACAAATATATACAGTACAATGCTGAACGTACCAAATCAAGTTTCACAAACGGGTAATTTCAAGTACTGGCGTAGATTCTCAGGAGCAACGGCAAATTACAATCACTCCTATGCATAGGCACCTTCAGTGAGGACAGATTCATCAAAGAAAACGTACAAATTTGAACAAATAATAAAGAAATTCTTCGAAAATTATTAAGTCAAAATGTAGAGACAAATGGCAGTAGAATATTCCTGCTGTACACGTGCCAACTACCTCTCTCCACACACACACACCTCCGCTGAAACACTTCCACATTTGGGAATAGTACCCTCATCCTTACCGCCAAGATGAGGAATCTTAACCATTATAACAAAAGACACTAATCAGACTGTTCTGTGAACTTAAGACACCGATAAAACTTTTCTGTCAAAAGTACCTAAACAGCACCACTGCTGCACACACACACAGTACGCGTGATGCACTATGGATTACTGGCAACCTAAAGGTGCGCACAAGCATACAAGATAATGAGGAATGATCAAAAGTTAGGCAAACACTGTGCCATTCTTCTCAAACATTATTTCTTTAATATACGGACTTCCCACCCATAAACATTCACATTTGAATTAGGAGGGGGGGGGGGGAA